AAAAGATTAAAAGATTGATCACCTGAAGTTGCCAACTCTTCAAATCCAAAGGATCCATAAGCTCATAAACTTTTACATTGCCATCAGAAAATGCCGCAATCTACAAAAAAACGAAAGGCATAAAAAAGAGTGTAATGGGGTTTTTTTTTTTTTTTTAATAGGAAATACTTTTTCATGAATAACAAAATGCAACAAAAATGAAACAGAAAGTATTTTAGACATCCAAAGTTATTCTTGACCCAACTATCACATTTATATCCAAAGAAATCCTTATAGTACTTCATTATTGAGGGGAAAATAATGATATGTTAAGTTCCAGAGTAATAAAAATGAACTAATTGAATGCGCTAAAAATCAAAGGAAATTGAGAAGTAGCAAAACACACAGGAATCATCCACCAGTAACAGCACAAGGAAATATATCTCGCAAGAGAATCAGAAGAAATATTGTCATTTACCATTTTCAGACCAGAAGAGGAATTTCCAAATTGGATGTCTAGGATTTGAGATGAATTACTTTTGAAGTGTTTGGATAGCTTCCACTGCAGAGGCTGGGCATCTAGAAAGCAGCAACAGGCAATAGATTTATACAATGATTAAGACGCTTCAAATTTTAGTCAAACCAGGGTTTATAGTTTATGTACCATGCTCTTGGGCCAAGTAAAGGGGAAGATAAGATGTAAGAAATAGACGTAGCTAACGTAACAATAAAATTTGAGAGAGAACCCGGGGTCAACAAAAACCAAAAGATTACCTTCAACAACCTCCTCCCACAATGACGAACTTCCATCCGAACAAATGCATGCAATAGAATCACCATACTCTGGAGGGACCCAAACAATCTTAAATATTGCAGCCTCATGAGCCTACAAAGATGGTTTCACCCAGTTTAGGCTCGAGCAAACTTCACTCATTAAAAGCTTTTCTGGAACAACGTTTAACAAGCCAAGGTCTCAAAGAGAGAGACCCCAATAAGAACTCAAAATGCACCTACTAGCCTTGAAAATTTCTATGCCAGATATGATCTTTCGGTGATTCAATAATTTCTGTCTATTTAATTTCTATGCCAGATACGATCTTCTAAGGGAACATTGCCCTTTCCAGCTTCAAAATTTTTAAGAGCTTAAAGCCCTTGCCTTCATCGAGAAAAAACATGAAACATAAGCCATCCAATGAAGGATGAGAACAAACTTCCTGGTTGGCTTTGAATATTTCCCTCGCTTTTGCCTCTACTAGCTTTGAATTAGTTATTGTCTTGTTAAAATTGTAATGTGACTCAATTTCAGCATAGCATGCAATGATGAAAATGAGTCGCATATCATCAATTTTCTCCTCTTGCCGTCAATAACCCAATTTCACTCCTTCGCCCCAAAAACTCACTCGCATTGCACTTGACCCCCTCCACTCTTACTTTTCACTCTCTCTTGACAAGTGAATTCAAAATTTATATAAATTCTCCATGAAGTTTAATCTAAGCAATAAATTAAAATAACATGATTGATACATCTCCAAAATCTTAAGACGTTTGTCCATTTTGTAAATGTAAACTAACAATCATTTAGAAGTAAGATTAGCTCTAAGAAACCACGGATTCGACCTAGGATAATGAAGTCCAACTGAAATAAAAGAAAGCAGTGAAACTAAAAAAACCTTGAAGTTTGAAGTGCGAGTTAAGGATGTGGATGAGGAAGAAGGGTCGAGAGAATCGAAGACGACGACGGTTCCGTCCGCCGAACCGGTGACTAATCTGCTGGCGGAGTAGTTCCAAGCCGAACAAACCGTGCCTTTGTCGAAGGTCGCCATAGCTTTCTCCATCTCAATTCTCTATTTCGCGCCCTCGTCTGCTCCAACAAAACCCCTTTGATTTCGGTTTCGTGGGAGCACTAAATTTTTTATTTTAAGCTATTAATAAAAATATTCCCAAGTTTTTTTTTTTTTTTTAAATGTTCATAAATGAAAAAGTTCTTTCTTTTTATTAAATATTTTATATTTAAAAAAATTAGAAATAATATATATATATATATATATATATTATAGAAGGTTTAGTGATTGAAAAATGAAATAAAATGAATTAAAGGATTATTCAATAAAAATTATTTCCATGTTAATAATTTATTAACGTGAAAAATAGTTAATAAATCCATAATTTTTTTTTAAGTTGAAGATTAGATTTGTAGTTAAATTAAAAAAAAACATTTGAATGGAAAAAAAATCCATTAATCTACAAAAACTTTTTCTACGGTTAAATTTAAATGTTGGTTTGATTATTCGACTATTCATTGAGTGAAACAATATTCTCGTATGGACTCGACAACTCCATTGTACAAAAACCCGTGATTTAACTAGAACATAGAAGACATCACCACAAGTCTCATGAGAGGCTTTACCCCAATGGAAACGCTCCTGAAGGGAACTTCACCTATAGTTGACCGTACCAATAAACATTTGGGTTCGCCAACTCCTCATTGATGTATCTCAACTTATTTTGACGGACAATAGTCCATCAGTTATTTCACGCATGGGTAGCATTGAGTCTCGTTATTTCCTTTTTATCCTGTCGTTAGGTACATAATGAACATCGACATACAAAAACTTGCGATTGTATTGACATTAAAGTTTATTAGATTTTTAATTTAGTTAAATTAAATAACATTTTATTAAGTCAAATTGAATACAACAAAACAAAACCATATATTATTATTATTATGTAATTGAGTTAAACCACTCCAACAAACTATGATGAAACTCAATAAGATTAATTATTCTTTAATGAACTACAATTAAAAAAAAAACTTAAGATATAGGTTAATTGTTAATTTCAAGTTGAAAATTCAAACAAGATTAAATTAATTAAGTATTAAAATATTGAAATAGACTAATTTACTCGATTATATATTATTTAAATGAAATTTAATTGAACTAAATTTTAAAAAATGTTGTAAAAATTAAAGGAGGACATGGGATATTCAAACTTATGCAAGCTTAAGCTGCAAAATCATCATCCCTAAACATTGGGAAAAAAAATAAAAAGTAGATATGAACATAATTATTACACACATACAAACTATATGAATGTAATAAATATTGTTTGCTAACTATATAGTAATTTCTAGGCTAATAAATAAAATCATTCAAATATTCAAAGAGATGCCAAGGGAGTTAGCCGTGAACCTCTCAGAAGCTGTCTTCCTCACCAACGACCCAATCTCGGGTGAAAGGCCAGTCCCAAAGTCAGCCTCGGGGACTTCGGGGATGGTCGAGAGCGACCCGACTTCATAGAAGACATAAAATCCATCTTTGGGTTGATCACGAGCCCGAAAGATCGACGTTTTAGAATTAGATTTAGGTCGAAAAAGAGAGCGGAGGAGTTTGTAGAGGGAGCGAGAGAGCTTAGAAGAAGCCTTGGACATAGGCACACAAGAGTGGGGCGGGGGAGCGGGGCGGTCAGATAAGTGAGGCATGGAGAGGGTTCTTGAGGCTATGGCAGAGTCAAGTTGTTGTTTGAAGGAATTGAGCTCAAAGGAATCATAGAGAGAGCTTCCACAGTCCCAGACGGGAGGGCTATTGGGGCTGTGATTGGGTTTGGTTTGAAGGGTTGGTTTTTCCATTGCCTTGTTTGTTGTTGCAGAGATGAGAAGATGGTGATAATATTTGAAGGTTGGTGAAGTTTGAAAGGGAATGGCTATGAGGAGCAAACTTAAAAAGAGGTAACTTTTGCATTATGGTTCACGCCCATGGCTTAAGAGCCATAAGAATTTGTCCCATTTTGGTGACAGACTTTCATCCATATCTCACTTAACCTCTTACATTTATTACACAAAACTGTTCTAACTTTTTATCTATTACCTCTTTTTTCTAACCAATTTAAATATTTTTAAACTTAATTATCTGTCCAATATGAATATAAATTTAAATTTATAAATTTAAAAATTTAAATATTAAATAAAAAAAATTTGTGGGTTCGAGTTGAATTTTGACTTGCACCACTAATTCGTGGTGATAGAGTCCACTGTCTAAATGTCCATTAGGTTAAAATATAACACCTAACACTCATTTGATGAACTATTAAAAGTTGACCCGCCAAAATACACATGGGCCCGTACACATCAAATTAAAATGAGACGACATACACTATATTATTTTCAATGTTTTAATTATTAAATTAATTTATTAGAAAATGATATCATAAGGATTTGAAAATTATATTACCTTAAACTTTGTTGGTTTGACTTGCATATTAATCTTTGTTGGGTTTAATCTTCCAATAATTATGATAGTTGTTGAAAATGGCTAAAGTAATTTTATTTATAATTTATCGTATTTATTTATTTCCTTTTTTTTTTTCATGAAAGTTCCAAAAAAAAAAAAAAAAAACAGATGAATACACCAAGTGCGGACAGGCAAGGAAGGGCATTTTTGGAATTAACATAAAGAGACAAAGTCATGTGAATATATTAGTTGTATTTTGTTGTCTCAAAACCGCATTGAGATAATGTTAGGTAAGCTTTATTAATCAATTAAAGCCTATCAATTTCTACTGCTAACTGATAAAAATGTCACCATTTATTAAAAATCAATGAATACGAATCTTAATAGATATTAATGCGTCTAAGTCGAAGAAATTTAGAGAATGATGGAACAATTTAGAAATTCTTAGCAGAAGATCAATAAAAAAAAAAAAATTAAAGAGATGAGAGCATATAATAATATAATTGACTATCTTGTTGGTAAGTCAGTGAAACTTCATCTTTATTCTCTCCTCCATATCTGTAACAGCCTAAACTTACTAGTAACAGATATTGTTTACTTTGACCACTTACATATTACTGTCAGCTTCACGAGACGTTCTCACACTTTTATAAATGCTTTATTCCCCTCTCCAACTAATATGAGATCTCATCTATCTTCTTGGAGGTCCAGTATCCTCACTAGTACACCTCTAGTATCTAGCTCTTATACTATTGGTAAGAATATCATAATAAAAAAAAATACATTTTTTTAGTCACTAAATTTTAACAATACATCTCAATTTCAACATTCTCACTCTTTCTAACAAACAACACAATGACTAACCTCCGCTTCAACTAGATATCAATCGACAATATCATTGCTGAAGAGCTTGAACTTTTGGGCATCAAGAACGAGTTTTCTTATAGAAGAGAAAGCACCCATGATCCCGACTCCGGTGAAGACGATGATGATGGCGAGATTGGTGCAATAGGTGATGGATGATTTGGGTGGCTTGTGGGTGATGTTGTAGAGAAGCATTGGTAGAACAAAATCAAGAGGAATGAAGCCAATAGCACCCACTACAGCACTAATGTCTCCAAAGAATGGAAGCATTGCAGCAGAAACTCCACACATAATCATGTACATTGAACGAAGTATGATCCTTGGAATAAGGTTCCTTTTGGAAAACAGCCCTTTCTTTACATCAGCTGATTGCTTCTCCATTATCTCGTATGCCACTTGTGAATATACCTATAATTTAAGCTTCACTTTCAATTCATTGTTAAGTTCAAAAGTATTGTATTTTAGTGATTGAAGTTAGCAGACCAGGGCAATGGCTAGGAGTTGAAGAAGAACAAAAATAACAGCGAGGCCCAAAATCCAAGTGGGCGCAAGAGAAGGCCCAGTGTCGGGCATCAAGCTCTGCAAGATATTGGGGGTACCCCTGTTCCCAAACACCCAATATCCAGACACAGCAATGGCGTAGAAGGTTAGGAATATGACGGTGTAACACATGGAAAGCCCTTTCACCATCTTCCCACTAGCCGGAGCTGCCAGAGTTGCCTGTTATGAGCTATGAATTACCTTAAATTATTCAAACTGAGTGTCACATAATCAGAAGCTGTAATGTAATGTGTTTGAAGTACTTGGATTTCAGGGAGGATTCCGTTCCCAAAAATGGCTGCTAAAATGGAGATGGATGTGAAGGCGCTGAACACCCTTGATTTTGGTGACGACTCTAAGCTGTAGTCCCTTGATCCAGCTTCTTTTCTGGTTGCTTCAATTATTGATAGAAGAAACATAAGATGAGTTGATCATATTATGAAAGGAATTGCTATGCGTTTAGTACCTGCAATGATACAAGCAGCAACCACAAGAAAGGCGTAGCCCAAGCTGAGAAGCAGAGAGGCCAGATTGACATGTCTAAGAGAGTGGAAGGTTGGAAGCTGAGACAGAATTATCATTGCCCCTGTTACTATTGCTATGAACTCGTACAGTTTCATCGATCCATTTGGATAAAAGTTTGAATATAGTATCTGTATGTCACCCAAAACCACATTCAATTCACTCCCTTTTAAGAGTTCAAGACATAAAGAGCTAAGTACCTATGAAAATTTAGGGATGACCATAAAATGAAGCTAATAACAAATGATGTTACGCAGTAAAATGATGAGATTCTATATCAGTTGGGGAGTAGAACGAAGGATTATTTATAAGGGTGTGGAAACCAATTTGTAGCAAACGCATTTTAAAAACGGAGAGAAAGTCCAAAAAGGACAATATCTGCTAACGGTGGACTTGAGCTGTTACAAATGGTATCAGAGAGTCAAACATCAGGCGATGTGCCAATGAGAAGGCTGAGCCCCAAATGAGATATACACGAGGCGGTGCACCAGCAAAGACGTTGGGCCCCCAAGAGAGGTGGATTAGGAGGTCCCACATTGATTGAAAAAGGGAACGAGTGCCAGCGAGTATGCTGGACTCTGAAGAGAGATGGATTGTGAGAGCTCACATTGAGAAGGAGAACGAAACTTTTTTTACAAGGGTGTGAAAACTTTTCCGTTTTAAAAACCTTGATAGGTAGTCCGAAAAGACAGTCGAAAAAGAATAATATCTACTAGCGGTCTAAAAAGACGGGGTGATCCACGTCATAAATGCTCATACTCAAGGAAACAAGGAAGCAATGGTCTCAATGGGTCACCAATTCACACTAAATGTCAATAAAAGCAGTTTGACTATTCCTATCCTTTTGTCCTTTCTTAGTCTTCTTTTTCTGAGGATCAAATCAGTGGGTGAAGCTTGTAAGAATGGGTTTCATTTGACAAGATAAAGACAGCACAACACACGTATATATATATCTATCGGTGAGAATAAGACACACCTCAATGCACTGTCCACCCAGCAAGATTGCTCCAATTCCCACTCCAGTATTGATAGCCGTTTGAATAAATATTACAAAGTAAAACATCCATCCAGATCCTGTTCAAAATTATTACAAATATAAGTTTTAAATATATATATATATAAATGTTACCAACCCACCCAAACTATATTTTCCTATTTTTAAAAAAGATATATAACTATAAATAGGAACTTATTTTAAAAATCAAATTTAACTAAAATGTTATAAATGTGAGATCTTAAAAAAATCAGATTTATGGGGCTATATATATTCCACGTACAATAATTCCTCTTTCCACCCCTAATGTTACTATCTTCAAATATCATTCGAATCATTAAGTTCTCATAAATATATATATTAGTTTTATGGTTCATTATGCAAGTTTAAATTATATTATCTTTTTATCACGAGATTAAATATTCAAATTTTTACACTAAAATATATTTTTTTTTTGTTCGTAAAAGACACTCACAAACACTAGTTTATTCTTAGTGGTTGTTGATTCATTAATATATTCTACATAAATATAAAAAAGAAATACTCAATTAAGCAAATATTAAAACTAGAATTGATTAAATAATTTTAAAATGAAATATTAAGCAAAAAATATTTTAATAAAAATAGAATATTTTAATTCTTTTTTAGTTCACATGTGAGTGATTATTGACTTTTTTTTTTTTTTTTTTTTTTTTTTTTTTTTTTTTTTTTTTTTTTTTTTTTTTTTTTTTTTTTTTTTTTTTTTTTAATGAAGTTATTATACGTTTTTTGAGTGGGCGAATATTTTAAAGTTTCTTTTAAGGAAAAAAATAAAAAAAAATCTTTATTTTTTACTTCTAAAACTACATTATATATATTAAAATTTTTAAAACAGAGAATTGCAGAGCAGAGAACAGAACACGCATGCGCTGTGGTAATGATGCGCATCATGATATGATATTCTTAAGATAGCGAAAGAGGAATAAAGCAGTTAATTAAAAAGATACCTAACACGTCGGCGGCGAGTTCCCGGAATCGGATGTGACGGCGACCGGCCTTCTCGCAGTGATCCAGAACCTTAGACATGAGTAAATACGAATAGAAAGTCACAACCGTCATAATCGTCAAGCAGAAAATCCCTAATCCCCAACCTAGTCCACTGAACGCGTACGGCAGCGTTAGAATCGTCGGTCCGACAATCGCCGTCGTCAAATGGAATCCGGCATGCCACCATTCTCCTGTTTAATCGTCGAGAGACGGAGTACGAAGTCATTTACTTATGAATCTTCATTTTCTAGATGGTTTGAGAATGAAAAATTGAAAACAGAGCCATCGCGAAATCTTGTTCTTGGAGTTACCTTTGGATTGGAGGACGAATGCTGCTCCAGCGTCGTTTTGGCGATCGTCGTAGGGAAATAGGTCATCGGTGATCGGAGGTTGATTTACCATCGTAGTTTTCGAGTTTGGCGGGCGGTGGAATCCAGGGCCGGTGAAGAAGGCAAGGCGAAAGTGAAACGGAAGCTGCCGGCATTGCTTGCAAATGATATTTATAGAAGTCAAGTATACTCATAATAATAAATACATGCCTTTTAAGTTCCTTTTTTTCAATTTATTTTGTCATTTATCTAAAATACCCTTTTTATTGCAATAACTATTTCGATTGGGGAACCCTTTTTATTGCAATAAATATATTTATTTATTTATTTATTTATTTATTTAAAGTTTCTATTTTTTATATTTAGTTTTAAGAGATTTTCACTTTTTCGAACTAAAAGTATTCAAAGGGTTTAGAATGTGTCAGGTCGTACATAGCAATAGTCACACGTTTTTTGTGTTCTCAGTAAAAAAAATAAATCGGGTATTATAAATTCAATCTAGTTTTGTCTAGTTTGATAAGATTCAAATCTATTCGATTTAGTTTTGGTCATTCTAACTTAAAAACTTGACTTCACATTTGAAAATACATAAAAAGATAAAAAGTAAAATTAAAAAAAGAATATTGATTAGAGTAGTAAGATTAATTAAAAGAATATGCTTAATTAAAAATCAAATAATTATCTTTAGTCTTGTTCAATAGCTATATTATTATCATCCTCCATAAAATTTTAAACAAAATCAATTGAATTCAAAAGTTAATTATTATTATTATAATTTTTTTTTTTTTGGGTGTAAAGATGAAAGTAAAGGTCAAGAAAACACCACAAATCATCAATAATTCAAATGTCATAAAAGAAATTTGATTCACACTACAAGTGGTTGGAGCCATCAATGGAGTTTTATATTAAAAATAAAATAAAATGCCTAAAATCATGTGAAAAATAGTGATAATTTTAGTCGATGATGACGACCTTCTTCAGTCATCACATCTTTGAATATTTTGGTATTGTACCCATCATAAAGAGACCCAAAATCAGTCAGAACTTTCTGATTCAGATACGATGGAACAAATACGAATTTCATAAAAGAAAAACCTAGCACTGAATTATGCCAACAATCTAACAGCTAGAGAAGAAATCAATTGGATGAACAAACAAGATTAGCTGCTGCTAATCAAAATCAGTCATTAGTTAGTGACTGTTCAAACAACACTTGAACAGGGAAGAAACACTTAACTAATTCAGGCTCTCTCCTCCTCCTCCTCACCCTTTGTTGTTTCAGCAACAGTTTTGTTGTATTCCTCCACTTGCTTTTTGTAAGCTTCCATGGCTTCTGCAGCTTTGTCATTCCACATTTTTCTCTCCCCTTCACTTAGTTCCTATTCTCCTCAAAGTAAAGAACAAAAACAGACCATTTATCAGCACCAACCATAATGTTCTTACAGTACTAACAGAAAGAAGATTGCAGCAAGTTCAAACCTTCCATTTCACTGAAATCAGGGCATTGACTGTGGAGTTGTTAACTCCAGGCTTCTCCTCCATTATAACTTTCCTTGCTTCTTTGCTGTAATTAACACAAGAAACAAGTTCAGTAACAAGGTTCTCCAAATGCAATTCTTCTATTTGAAGGGTGTTTTGATTATATTTTACCTGAACAAGATGTAAGAGGATGCCGGCTTCTTAGGCTTGTTAGGATCAGTATTTTTCTTTCCTTCCTTCTTCTTCTTCTGGCGTTCCTCCTTTGTTTTCTGTAATAGATCATACAGACGTCTCAAATCAATGGATTGTCGAAATATTATAGTGCAGTCAAGATATGACACACAATTACAGTCTTTTACCTTTATAATTGTCTCAGTTTTCTCTTTCTTCTTTAGCAGCAGCAAAGCTTCATGTTTCTGAAGCTTCATTTGCTCTTCCTCTTCCTTCTTGAGGTTTGCTGCTTCTTCCTCCTTTTTCTGCTTGTAAAATTCCATCTCCTGCATGTATTTCTCCTTCTTCTTCTTCGCCATCTGCATGAATTCAAGAGATAATATTGGTTTTGAATGAATTATTTATAAAAAATCTGTTTTAGGTCTTGAATTTCAATGAATGCTGACCTCTTCATAGGGACCTCTTTGCTCCTCTGTCATGTTCTTCCACTCCTCTCCTGTTATCTTCGCTACCTGAATGGAGAAGGCAGTGGACATGAAAATTTGGACTGCTAAAGCAAATAGAAGCCCCAACACAAACACATTGAAACCAAAATCTGAGAATCGAAAGAGAATCTAACCTCTAGGACATTCTTGTTCTCAGCAAAAAGGGATCCACGCCTCTCATTTGAGAAGAGGAAAAAGGCCGACATCGGTTGCTTGGGCTTCAGTGGATCTCTCTCTTTCCTAAGAGACATTTTATCAAACATTAGCAAAGCACTTCCACAGATAGAATAGAGATAAAATCGTACTACTTACTTCTTCTTCTTGCTATCCTTCTCTGCTTCCTCTTTGAATTGGAGGTATTGATCAAGCAACTCCATGGCTGTCTTCTGCTTCTGCTCCTCTTCTAACAGCTTCATCGCCTCAGTCTCACGCTTCTCCTTAGAAGTGATTTGCAAATAGGCTTCTTTCTCTGCCTGATACCTTTCCTCATATGGCTTCTTCTCCTCTGCAGTAACACTCTTCCATTTTGCCCCCAAAATGTTCGAGATTTCTTTGAACTCCGCCTCTGGATTTTCCTTCTTGATCTGCGTCGGAGAACACAAGCCAGAAATGTAAATTTCAAAAGTAATTTCAACAGTGCTAATAATCAAGAATTATGAGAAGTATAACATACCTCATTCCACTGATCTTTGCACCACAATATGTAAGGTGGAGAGGGCCGCTTCTTTTCTGAGCACTTCTTCTTCTCTTTCTTATCTTGCTCCTTGTCTTTCAAAATTTGAATCATAGGGAAGTTCTAATCAAGAATGAAAAATATTCAACAATCAGAAATCAAAACCAAACCAGATCTGACGACTTCTTTCCGAAATACTAATTAATTCCAGCTATATCGAACATAAAATTAACAATTTCTTGTTCATTTCTAGGTATACGAATAATCAGAAAGAAAAACACAAAATTACGAAACAAACCATATTAGGTTTGAATTCCTTCAATTTCTGCAGCTTCTTCAATTCGATCTGGAGCTTCTCCTGTTCTTTATCCTTCGTTTTAAGCTCTTCATCCTTCTGCTTAAGCATCTCATCCTTTGCTTTCAAAAGCTCCTCAGTCTTCTCCTTCTCGAGCCTCAATTGTTGTAGCATGTCCTGCATTTCCTGCAAATCTTTGTCGAAGGACTGCTTCGCCGGCTGCTTCTTCTGCGCAGCTTTCGGCTTCGGTTGATTCAGAGAGAGGTCCTCCTCTTCCGACGGCTGCGTTACCTTCGTGACCATAGATTGAGATTCCTCCGGTGAAGAGTTTTTGTCCTTGAGAGCCTTCCGGCTGTTTCTAGGTTTCTTCGTCCTTCCAACGGGTTCGCCGGTGACCAGAACTTCAGCAGTGGCGGAACTGGCCATTGGAGATAGAAGAGAGAGACTGATAGGGTTTGAAGGCGAAATTTGAAAATTTTGTACAGACGAGGGTGGGGTTTTTATATAGGGGGAAAGAAGCCCAACGGTCGGATTTGTCTATTTTTCAAAATTCAAATGAATTACTGACATTGAGGACTTGTTTTGAAATCCGGCTTCTCAAATTCGTTTGATCGTTGGTGGAGTGTTTTTTTTAAGAAAAAAAAATTATATATTTAATTTTATTTAGGAAATGAACGCACATGGAAATAAATTTTAAAAATTAGATTTAAAATACATTTAAGTCATTTTAAAGTATTTTTTAGACAAAAAATCAATTTATATCTCTTAATTTTAAAATTATATCCATTTAAATCATAAATTTTTAGAAATATATTAATTTAACCTCTCGTTCAAATTTATAATTGTATCAATTAAACTCTAATAAATTAATTTTCCGACATTTAATTTAATAATGGTCACAAAATAAATTTTTATTAACAATTAACAAAGGTTCATTTTATTAAGAATGGAACAACTAAAAAAAATTAAACTCTATTTAAATACATTCTTATTATATATCTAAAAACATATCCATGTAGATATTTAAAAAGATCATATTAATAAAGACAAACCTAATCTTTTATTTTAACAAAAATAAATAGTACCAGATAAATTTAGATGTCAATTCAATCATAACTCAATGGATAAAATACCAATTATAAAAATCCAAAACATGCATGGAAGGTTTTGCAACCGTTCTTGTATTTCACTACTTAAACATAATGCTCACTAATCATGAGATCTCACATCGGTTGGAGAAGAAGAGAACCAAACATTCCTTATAAGAATATGAAAACTTCTTTCTAATAAACACGTTTTAAAATCGTAAGACTGACAATGATACATAAGAGATGAAAACAGATATGTGTATTATAAAATCTAATTTGCTAATAACGCTTCAAATTTATATACTCAAAACTTAGATATACAGAGAAGCAAATGAGTTTGAGTTCCATAAGGCAAAAGGTATGAACCGCCTACACTTTATGTGTCACACGAGTGTTCTTGGTACTTTCATCCCGAACCCATGCTTCACCTTCGCAATGCTGTGTTTTCAAAAACTGTTGAAGGTCAAATGGTTTGTACTTTGTAATGATAAGAAACTGAGAAAAAAACGTTATGAAAGCAATGAACTTACGTTGGGGCCAGTTTTCCCAGATTGTGCAACACTTTCCCAGTATCTTCATCCACAACTCTTCCCGAGATGTCGATTCTATAAAACTTGTTTGGAGTAGTGGGCAACCCTCTGCTAGAAAGCAGCTCCAAATCCCTTTTGTGAAGCTCTCTGCCATTCACAAAGATTTCAGTGTTTCCAGCAGCACAGTTCCTTGACAATGGATAGGTGAACTCGTCGATGAACGGCTGAATGATGAGCATAGAAGAAGGGAGTTGATTAACATGCTTGATATTGATAACTTAGAGCTATTAAACCATAGGATTGAAACTCACAGGAATGATGCCAAGACATGGATGCCCCATTACACCCCAGAATCCAGCTTGATAATCATACCTGGTAGCCACAATTAAAGGGGGAAACCACAATGTTAAGCCAGTTAAAATCATTGAAACAAGACGAGGGAATGCATCCAAGAGTTGTGTGTGTGAGATCCCACGTCGGTTGGGGAGGAGAACGAAACATTCTTTATAAGAGCGTGAAAATTTCTACTTAGTAGACACGTTTTAAAAACCTTGAGAGGAAGCCCAAAAAGAGAATGCCTAAAGAGAACAATATTTGCTAGCGGTGGGTTGGGCGGTTACAAATGATATTAGAGCCAAATACCGGGTGGTGTGCTAGGGAGGACGCTGAGCCCTGAAGGGGGTGGTGGATTGTGAGATCCTACATCGATTAGAGAGGGAAGTGAAACATTCTTTATAAGAGTGTGGAAACCTCTCCCTAGTAGACGTGTTTTAAAAACCTTGAAGGAAAGTTCGAATGGAAAAGCCTAAAGAGCATAATATCAGCTAGCGGTTGAACTAAAACTTACCAATAATCTCCGGGAAGAATGGGCCCAGCTTGCTTTTCAGCCTTTTTGACTACATGAGCTGGTAAAGGCTGCCCATTAACTGAAACAACAGGCTTTCCATTATCCGGAATTTCACTTGATCTTGAGAAATCTCTTAAGTTGCACTTGCTGAGACCCACAAAAAAGGTTTCTGATTCTTGACTGTTTTTGATCTTGCTTTGATCTTCCACTTCTTCTTTTCTTGTTTCCACAAAATCTTGAGAAACATGAATGTTTGAATAATCTTCAAATGAGACGTCCAACTCGATCGGCTCGGCATCGTCGTCTATCACAGTATTCTGCTTATTTTCATCACTTCCCTCTCTATGTTTGCTAGCTTCCTGATAAGAAGTGCTATCAGAATTCTCCTTGGAAACATCTTTTGAAGGCAGGTCAGCTGAGTCGCTGAGAAGGCTTGGTTCACATTTTATAGCTGGGGTGGTCTTCAATGAAGTTTGCTCCTGCTTGTTGTGGTCAGTACTGATTAACTTGTGACAAGAATCATCAGAGCTTTCCAAGGAGTTGGTGGCATTGACAGCTCGTTTGGGGGAACCATCATCAGGAGAAACTTCTTTGAGCTTGGTTTCAGATGGAACGCTAACAACAAGCCTTCTGTTCTCGACTCGTACAACGACGACAACAGAACAAGCACCACATTGTAGTTTCTGCCAATCCATTTGCAACTTATAAAGCTTTCTTGGCAGTTTAAGCAATTCCAAGCAACTAACACATACAATGAATGGGGCACCACCTGCAATGGCATCACAAGAATTCCCATTTCTTTGCAAAAGTGGGGCCTTTCTTGGTTGAATCAGATCATAACCATCAGTCACTGAACTAAGCTCACTAGACTGTCTTGAGTGTGGAAAATGACCAGCACGTCGCAGATCAGACGCCTCGAGTCCAATAGGAATAGCATTCTCATTGTAATAAGCACTCATTTTGATTGGCTCTTTTGGATGTAAGAACTCCTCACTATTTCTCTGGTAATGAGAGCCATGTCTCAGCTGTGGGCTCTTTGTTGAAGGCTGCATTGGAACATTGTAAGTAGGCCGACCGTAGTACTGATTGGCTGGAGCTCTCACATCACAAGACATAATAATTTGGTCTTTCAACTCATCCAACCTTCTAAGCAGCTCAGCTGGATTTGGGTTCAAACCTTCAAAGTTAGAACTTGAAGGTCTGTCAGCAACAGCCATAGAGTCCCTAGAGTACCTTGTATATGCATCTCTTTCAACTTTTCGATGCTCGAAACTCGCCCGGCTTCTTGCTGCTCCTATACGAGTACGATACGGTGCTGTACTTGGATAATCCGAATCATAAACGTTCACGTCTTGTTCAAGATTACATCGACCAACCCAATTCTTGATATATTGATCTCCAAACCTCTGGATTGGCCAAACTCCATTAGTTTCCTTCCCAACTTTCATCTCATAATCCTTTATATACTCTCTATCATTTGTTCTAATTGGGCTGTTGCTGAAAACAGTCCTTTTAGAGCTCGGACTGCCCCACTCAGTGTCAGAAGCAGCACCTAAACTACTGCCTTGTTCTGATAAGGACTCATAATTTTCACTGCTCATAGAATCATTTTTCTCATTTAGGGGAACTTTGCTCTTTGCTGCACCATCAAAGTTGTGATAAAATTTTAAAGTCACCAAGTGTTCACAAAGTCGACTTAAAAACCCTTTTTAGCACTTAAAAAGTCATTCATTAAGCGGATATCTAGGCATAACAGAGTCCCATGGTCTACTACATCATCCAAAAACAGAGCATTTTTCCAACATAAATGTAACCACAACAGAGCACAAGCATAACTTATAATTTGACAAATAACAACATAACTAGTGGAGCTAAAAATTTCTCAGCAGCCAAAACAAGAGAGAATAAAAAGGAACAAAGCAAGTATTCATACCTCTAAGAACAGCCCCACAGCCACCACACTGATAAACAGGGAGCTCCGAGGGCTCAGGCAAGAGATTCTCGCATTTGGGACAACGAACTACTCGAACTTTCTGGTCACCAGACATAATTCAGAACCCAAGAGAAGATCAAACTTAGAAATTCTTCAAACCCATTAAAGAGAAGAAACAATCAAACAATCCCAAATCCGGAAATCAATGAATAAAAAGAAAAAAGAAAAACTCCAGCCCATTAACAAACTCAAGAACAATTTCCAAAATCACAAACCCACAATAAGTTTCAACACAAAGAAATAGAAGTTCACACAAATACAAATGCAAATTTCCAATAGCTTAAAAGACGAACAGAATGGACTTTTCATAAGAGAGAGAGCAATTGAACTCAACTGATCATTTGGAAATTGTCCATATGAGCAGATGGCCAAATTAAGGCTTGAAGAGACCAACGCGGTTATCTCAAATCTCTCAACATGAACTGTGAGAGGAAGATAAAACGCCATCGTTTTCATGAAACGACGCTGTTTAATGTTTAGTTGGACCGCGTTCTGTAATAAAGGCGGATGGGCCAAGTCAGACGGAGAGCAGTAGAAACAATCAAATAGTAAATAACATTGACCAATCAGATTACAGTATGAGTATGAATTTACGATAATACCCTCAAAAAGACGTGGGGAGAAATCAGGTGCTGTCGTTTCTTAGTTGAAAATAATAAATAAGGATACAACTGCTTGGCTCGAATTTAAGGCTTTACAAATTAATATATATTAATTGATTTGGTTTTATTGTTGACTTTTTTTTTAAATTAAAAAATTATTTGAATCTCATAAAATACAAAAAAAAAAAAAAAAAATGTATTATTAAATATGGAGAGTTTTTTTTCCCTCCTTATTGTGTCAAAATAGTCAACTTTCTTCTAGAGTGTGGGATAAAAGTATACGATTTAATATGATAAAAATGAGAAAATAGAATTTAAAAGACAGAAAATTAATTTAATATACATTAAATCTATTCTATTTTAGCTGTATGGTTAATTATTTGGTTTATTAATGATGACGCTTTTATCACTTAGCCTCGAAAGTTGGTAGATGGATTGTAGCTAGCTTCCCATAGTTTGATACAAATTTAATCAATTAATTTTCTTCTAGACATAGAATCACACTCTTATATATGTGGGATAAGTTGTGTTTATAAATATAATCACTACTCATTAGGCAATAATTTCCGAGTTATAAGTACCTAAAAATGTTTATTTAACTCACATAGCCAAAATCGAGTGGGAATCTACCTTGGGACGGAGAATGGGGACGGGAGCATAGAAAGATTTTCTAACCATTTTTTTTAATAAATAAGATTATTATCACTCATTACGAAGGAGTTTTGATTTAGGATCGAAAGAACAAAAATGTACAACAAATCCTATAATACAAACATAAATGTACAAAAGATAAAAGAATACTTATTATACTCTCTAATCTCTCGAGCTTTCTTTAGGTCTTCATCTCCAGCATCTACATCATCCTCTACAGGCCTAATCCTTTTGTCCCTAATCCTAATCAAAATTAGGGATTTTTCTTGCAATTGTAAGTCTTCCTATACAATCACAAATCAATCTCTTTTGAATAAAATTAAGGCTATCTTGCAATTATGCATGACCCAATGCCAATGGCATCTCAAAACGCTTATGTATCTGTGCAGGGATGACACAACCCCCATGGGTGTCGTGCCTTTTTGCATTTTTCTAAAAGAAAATAACTAATTTCTTGAATGATTTCTCCATTGTTCTTTTAAATACCTACAAAGGGAACATAAAAGGTATTAACATATCTAGAAGTAATAGAAAACCATTACAGTTGATAGAATCGGACTTAAAACAATTATAGATCCTCGAGTAATTAACAGAAAATACCATAATTTACAACAAACAAAAATAAGCAATCCTTGTAATCACACTCCAGCCTGCAAAATAAGACTCAAAATCTAAGATAACTACACGTATAAAGCTACTTCTTCCATCTTGACTATCAAGCAGATTTCAAGTAAAGGAAAAAAAAAAAGGGACTATTACGCAGATTTCAGTTTATTCAAGATTTTGATTCTCTCTGTGTGTATTTTTTTGGTCTTATTTTACTTGGTTTCTTTTGAAAGATAATTGTTTCTGTCAACACATCAGAATCGACTTCCATTGGACTCTAGAAGCTCACTATGTTTACTGATCTATCTTGCCTTTTTTTTTTTTTTGGCACTCATTCCAACCTCCATTATTAAAAAGAAAAAAAAAGGAAGTTACTCAAATATCACTTAAAGTCATTTCTCTTTCTTTCTTGTTGAGCTCTACTTAAAGTCATAGCTTAATTAATGGATCAAGCAACTACTTAGCAAGAACTAATGTTTTTTTAAAACTAAAGTAAGCTCCTAACCTAAATTAACCCTGTGTAGCTAGATGGCTACCAAGAAAAGATGGGATAAATAGCACAGGATCATGGTGGCTCTTAGATGTCATGAGGAGGCCCCATATGGATGTCTCTAAAGCATAAGTGAAATAAGGAAAGAGGGCGAAAAAAGGAAAGAGAGGGATGGGGTTTCTCTCACTTTGGGCTAAGCCCTGTTCATCTTTATAAATGAACTATAAATAAAGTCGTACAATGAATAAGTAAAGGAATACTCAATATTCACAACGCAGGTATACCAATAGATAGACTGACTAATTAGCCACATCCAAGCGAAGGTTTATCAATAACCCAAAGAACTTTAAAGAACAACAAGATGGATATAATTGAAGGAATTCACAAGGAAAAAGCAAAAGTAGAAAGATGTGTAGTAAAGGGAGTGATGGTTGACTTACTATCTTACGCTCTGGCCTCCTTTAACATTCAACTTTAGAACCTCATCTTTGAGGAAATCGTAGCGGCTACGATGATACTCGATCAAAATGCAAAGCTGCCTTATCGCTTCTTTCTTCTCCTCTTTCAGACCCAGCATACCTTCATTCTTCTCATCCATCATCTTCTCTAATTCTCTCTGTCTCTTTTCAAGCTGATGGATTGCTTGAACCAATCCTTCCTTCTCCGATCCTTCCTTGTTGGCCTTTTTCTCCAACTTCTCAACCTGTTTTATTAATATTGATTCTCTCTCTCTCTTTTCTTGAAGTTGTTCGCCAAGGGTTACTACCTCTTTCTTTAGGCTTTCTGTTTCTCGAATAGATTTCGAGACCCAACTCTTTGCAAACTGTAGATGGTGGGATGTCTCAATGACACACTTCTCATACTTTGCGTAGTCCAATTCAAGTTTCCTGAAGACACATTCCAGTTGGGAGAGGTTACTGTTAATGTTTTCTGAAACAGTGGATATTGTCTCTTGGTGCGCTTTGTTGTTAGCAACAATTGTTGCAGATAGTCCATGAATTCTTTCTTCAAGTAGTCTCTGTTCCTCTAAATATTTCAATTCAGCTTTCCGGAATATCTCTTCCTTTTCAGTTAATAATTGTTCTGTAACACGAAGCTTCTGGTTTGATAACCGAAGCTTGACTTCAATCGTGCGTGTATTTTCAACCAGGAGATTCATCTCATCACTTTTTACTTCCAGTTCTCTATTTAGATCCTCAACCATTAGCTCCAGGTCATTTTTCACTTGGTCCTTTGATCTGATATCTTTGCGGAACTCTTGGGCCATTTCTGCCATCTTCATTTCTGCATTATCAAGTTTTAGCTTACATTCTTCAAACTGATCTTCAACCAGTTTATACTGATCATTTAGCTTCTTGTAAGCATCCTCGTGTTCCTTCAAATTTCTCTGGTGATCAGCAATCGAATTCAACAACTCAACTTTCTCCTTTTCCAATTGAGTTAAGGTATCCAAAAGTTCATTTTTCTCCCTTTCAACCTGAAACTCAATTTCACTTTTTTCATTCTGCAAAGAATTCACCTTCTCTTGCAGATTTTCAACCTGGGCCACTAAGATTAGTTTTTGGCTCAAGGCTTCAGCCTCTACACCTCTGTGTTTCTCATGGAGAGTAGATAGCTCAACTCCTCTATCTGTCAAGGTACTTTCTAATTCAGAACATTTCTTCTCCAAATCAAACTTTTCCTCCCTGAATCGACTGTTCTCATCCACCTGACTTTTTAGTTTCTCCTCAACTTCGCGCTTTTCATTGCATAAGGAGTCAAATGCTGATTCAAGATCCTTGATTTGTACTATTAAATCTTCTTTCTCTTTCAATAGTCTCTGTTGATCCGAATTCTTGTTCACTATTTCCTCTTCAAACTCTTGTATCTGTATTGTATATTCTGAAATCATTCGAGTTGTCCTCTCTAGTTGCAACTCCAAATCAACTTTTTGGCTCTGTTGGAATTCCAACTGTTGCAGCAACGTCTCCACCTGATCTGTTAAGCCTTTGGCTTGCAATGAAGCTTCTTCATTCCTGCATATCATCCGTTCTTCCAGTTCACCTTTTTGAGCATGTAAAGAACTCACCTCTTCTAATAGGCGGTTGATCTCCAGAGTCAAATTTGCTATGCTGGATGATGATTGATTTTCACTGTCTTCAAGTTTCTTTCGGAGAATAGAAAGTTCATTTTCTCTCTCCCTAAATAATACTTCAATCTCTGAAACTTGGGCTTGTAGTCCAATATTTTCCTCTCCCAATTGTTTTGCTTCCGCTGCTTTGATCTCCAATTGTTGAAACAAATCTTTTTCACGTGTTTGTAATAACTCCAATTCTGTTTCCAACCGTGTAACTTGAGCTTCTAGCATAGTTACGCAAGTTAACAATTCGTTCACATGCACTTCGTGCTTCTCAACAAGAGTAGAACGTTCTCTTTCCCTCATACCCAAATCCTCCTTCAACAATTGCATTTGAGACACAAGTTCTTGGTTCGTCTGTTGAGCCAATTGAATTTCACTTGAGATCTCCACAATTTTTAAGTTGAGTAATCTATTTTCTTCCTCAGAAGCTTCTAGAGAATGAGTTAAGTTTGCAGCCTGCTGTTCTGTAGACTGAATTTGCCGCTTCAAGAAAGAAACTTCTCCTCGAGCTGTTTCCAATTCTTGGAAAATGGTCATCTTTTCTTCTTTTAGCCGATCACCCATCTCATTTAATTCCTTTATAGTTTTCTCTCCCTCTTCAATTCTCCTCCAAGCAGTCTCCCTTTCTTTCATCAAGTTGACTTTCTCAATTTCAACGTCGTTCAATCTTTCATATAGTTCTGTTTCTAACTTGGCAGCAGAGCTCAGTCTCTGATTCAACCCTTCAACTTCAAGCAACAGCTTAGATTTTTCCAGGCCCCAAGTTTCTGCCTCAACCTTTGAACTTTCTATGATTTCATTTGCTTCTTGAAGCTTACTTAAGGCCATCATATGTTCTAAGTTGAGAGCTTTTTTATCTTCTACTGTAATTGTCAATTGGCTGTTCAGTTGATCAACCAAGACATTTAACTCTTGTCTAACATTTTTACCTTGCTCAATCTCCTTCCATGCAATCTCCTTTTCTTTGATCAAGTCATCTTTCTCAATTTCAATATCTTTCAATCTTCCATTGAGTTCTGCTTCTATCTTAACAGCATTGCTCAGCCTCTCACTAGTCTCTTCAATCTTGAGCAGAAGATCAGCTTTTTCAACGCCCCACGCTTCAGCTTGTGTCTTCATATCTCCTATGATCTTATCTGCCTCAATTATCTTGCTTAAAACTGTCGCATGGTCCAAGTTTAAAACTTCCTTTTCTTCAATCGTAGCTGTCAACTGCCTCTTCACCTGATCAGTCAGGATATTTAATTCTTCTATAATTTTTTGTCCCTCTTCAATTGTTCTCTTATCAGCTTCCTTTTCCTTGATCAAGTTATCCTTTTCTATTCCAATATCTTTCAATCTCTCATTCAATTGTGCTTCCAATTCTCCGGCAGCACCCAACTTCTGATTCAGCTCTTCAATCTCAAGTAGAAGTTTAGATTTTTCAACATCCCGAGTTTCTGCTTCAACCTTCATATCTCTTATGATCGTATCTGCTTCTTGTACCCTACTTAAAGTTGTCAAGTGCTGTAAGTTCAGAGCTTCCTTTTCTTCAATTGATGCTGTCAATTGCCTCTTCAGTTGCTCAACCGCAGCATTTAATTCATTAACGTTTTCGGCCTCTCTAATCGTTCTTAAGGCAATCTCTTTTTCCTCTACCAACTTCCCTTTTTCCATTTCCAAGTCTTTCAATTTCTTATTCAAATCTGCTTCTAAATTTTCAGCAAGACTCAACTTCTGGTTCTGCTCTTCAATCTTAAGAAGAAAGTCAGATTTTTCAACACCCAAGCTTTCTGCTTCAACCCTCATGTCTGCTATGATCTTTTCTGCTTCATTTATTTTGCTCAAAGCTGTCCCATGTTCTAGGGTCAGAGCTTCTTTGTCTTCAACAGAAGCTGTTAACTGACTCCTCAACGAATCAATTGTGGCATTTAACTCTTCTACAATTTTATTTCCCTCCTCAGTTTTCCTCCATGCAGTCTCCTTCTCCTTGATCAAGGTTTCCTTCTCTGTTTCAATATCTTTAAGTCTCCCATTCAATTCAGATTGAATTTCACCAGCAGTACTCAACTTCTGACCCAGCTCTTCGATCTCGAGCAGAAATTTAGATTTTTCAAGACCCAATGCTTCAGCGTCAATCTTCATGGCCCCTATGACCTTTTCTACTTCTTGTATATTGTTTAAAGCTTCCAAGTGTTTTAAGTGTAGGGTCTCCTTTTCTTCCATTGTGGTTGACAACTTCTCCTTCAGTTCCTCTATAGTTTTTTCCCCACCTTCAATCTTCCCCCTTGCAGTCTCCTTTTCTTCAATGAATCTATTCATCTCTGTTTCCATACCTTCTATTATCCCATTCAATTCAGCTTCAATCTTACTTGCATTACCCAACGCCAGTTTCAGATCTTCAATTTCAAGCAGAAATTTGGACTTCTGAGCATCCCAAGTCTCAGCTTCAAACTTGAAATCTCTAATAATTCCATCTGCTTCTTGTATCTTACTTAAAGCAGTCAGGTGTTCTGAATTTAGAGATTCGTGCTCTTTAGTTGTAGTTGCCAATATCGTTTTCAAGTTGGCTACTTCTGAAAGTGCTGCTTCAAGTTCCAGCTTGATGTCTCCAACTTCTTGGAGTTCTCTCTCATTCTTTGGAGAATCATTTGAATCATCTGAATCCGAGTCGGATGAACTGCTAGATGAAGATCTTTCCTTTCCTTTTCTTTTTTGAAATTTTCTTCTCAAATCTCCGGTCAGACTGTCGTATTGTTCATAGAGTGCCTTGTAATCTTTATGAAAATCATCAATTAACTCATCAACGGACTGCTTTTTGCCAGTTCCTGATTGGTCATGGTCTTCCACTCCTAGATCTTCATCTCTTAAGAGTTTTTTAATTTTATTCACCTTGTCCTGGACAACTGCATCATAAATGTAAAATTATTAATCTACGGACTAAGAAGATCATGGGAGAAAGACAAGCACCATTAACTATAAAACTCAAAGGGAACATATCCCTCGAATTCATAAATGGAAAAATTATAGAAATTACAGCAGTTTTTTTAAAATCAAAATTACCTGATTTACTTCCTTTCAGCCGTTCTTCTGTTTCTGGATCAAGGTGACTCCCAAATATAGACTTCATAGAATCCCTGAACCGGTGCTTTGTCATCTCCTGGGAATATCAACTTCCCCTAGCAAGCACAGTAGAACATGGACGTTCAAGAGTCCATGACTGAAAATCAAAATTCAAGTTACTCGTACATTCTAAAACCAGTAAAGAACATGTAAGAGATAAATCCCTATAGATGTCTACGAGAAATAGAGGTGGAAAGAGATTATCTTTTCTGAACTGTCATTGACAGAGTATTATTCATTGGAAGGATAAATCCAAACGCATCCTCATAAAATAATCTGTAAATCGACATTTTCTAAAGATCCACATGGGTTGAGGCTGTACAAAACTGTGATTTGTAATTGAAAATAATAATTATTTTGTTCAACATTAGAACTAATATACATTTCTATAGCCTAATTATATCCGCAGTTGATATCATGTTAATCTAATAATAATTCTCAATCGTCCTTTACCACCAACTTTTAACTTTTCACTTTGAACTGGCAATGGCAAACTGACATTGTACATAAAAATAAAAAAAATAAAAAAAAAAAGAAGAAGAAGCAAACTTATAATATTTCTGCAGTTAATTCATGAATAAATAGACTCCACCAGAGATCGCACATGGGAGGGGCCTACTTACAACAGCAGCGTTTATCACAGTTTGAATCGATTAGAACGCCGACGAAAGCTATAATAGTTTTCTTCTTGGAGACAGTGTGACAGGATTCATATGGTAATTAGAAAACTATTTCATTCTAAGACATATTATGTAGGCAAACTTTGCACAATAGCAAGCTGCTACGCCAATTTCTGTACAGCGCCCGACTCGGCAACGGCAGAGATGGCCTCAGGGCCATATTTAGATTTTAGAAAAAACAGCTAATATCAGAAAAGATGAACAGTTTCTTTTTGTTGATTCTACCATGCAAAGCCACTCATCATTATCACAATTTTGAAATCTATACCAATTAAGGATTATTTTTAACAAAAAAAAAAAAAAAAAAAAAAAAAAATGGGTTTTTCCATTTCAACGATGAAGTAAGAGAAATTAAATTAATTGACCAAAAAAAGAAAAAAAATAAATTAGTTCTAAAAAACAGAGAGAGAGATGAACTAATTGCCCGTAATTAATTACTATATGCCGGAATATTATTTGTCGATAGAGACAAAATTCGCCATGGCCTAGAAATTCACCTGGAAATTCACTTTACTCTTCTTCCGTCTTCCTCATCGAGGTTCAACCAACAGTGATATTTCTGGATCCGGAACTAGACACAGCGAGAAACAAGAATCAATTACAGAAGAAATCAAAATAAACACAAAACTCCAAACAACTGCAGCAAAGTAGCAACCAAAATAGCTAATCCATCTTCCATTTCAGCAGGAAAAGTTTCGAAGTGATCGGACTATAAACGAAATAGATTCATACATAAATTCTCGCGCAGTTAGATTCGCTTAAAAATAGTAGCAGTAATAGCTTCAGCACATTAAACACGCCCATCCACAATCCAAAACCACCAATTTAAGCTCAACAGAAGATTCAATCAAATCACCAAAACATAGAAAAAAAAAATCCAAGCTCAAGCAATCATCAACTTCGATCCGATACATGAATTCGAAAATTCCAGAAACAAGAAACACAAGAGAAAAAAAAAACACGTGGAATTGAACTGAAACATCAAGTAATCAACCAAAATCTCAAAGAAAACAGAAGATAATTATTAAAACAGAAACGATGAAATTAAAAAGAAGAACTTAAAAAATTACCTGAAAATCAGAGGACGAAGGGAAGATAAGAGAGAACAAAACCAGCAACACAGGAAGAGAGAGAGAGAGAGAGAGATTAACAGAAAATGGGAAATGAAAAAGGAAGAGAGTGGTTAAGTTGAGGATTAGAACGCTCAAACACCAGAGAGCGAGTGATATAGCAATTTTTGCAGCTTCAAAATTTGAAGGGATGGAATCCGTGGTGGCGATCCAAAACATTTGCCCTTTAGATAGCGAATATTCACGGAATTTGCCACTGAGATTTTAATTTAACCCCTCGAACCTTTTAGAACCAACTCTACAAAACCATTTAATAAATAAATAAATAAATAAATAAATATTTTGAAAAACCCCAACAGTTTGTTTTCCAGCATTCCCGCTCTTTTTTCTTTTTCCTTTCCTTTCCTTTCTTGCCCTCCAATCACGGGAGGGTTGAGAAATCGTGGGAAAATGAAGCTTTAATTTCAACAAAATTAATTTTATTAATTTTTTCATCATTTAATTTGTGTTAATTGTGTAAATATTTAAACATAGGGAACAAAATTCATACAAAATTAAAAAATATTTTATTGAAGAACGAATAAATGTGTGTATAGTGTATAATGAATATAATATTTCTTTTACATTTACATTTACCAAAATTTTTTGAGAAATCCAACAAATATATATATATATATATATATATATATATATATATATATATATATATATATATATATATATATATATATATATATATATATATATATTTTGTTATACCAAAAAGAACGAGCATCATCAAATCATTTTTATGTTTCTGACATTCTTCCCGATCATGGCGTCTTTGAGAAGATCGTACCGGCTACGATGGTGATCAATCACGGCACAGAGCTGTCGAATCACTTCTCTCTTCTCTTCTGCAAGTCGGAACACTTCTTCATCTTTCTCCTTTACTAGGTTCACCATTTTCGTCATTTTCTTCTCCAGTTGGCTAAGGCTTCTGATCAGGTTCAGTTTCTCCCCTCCTTCTTTACTTAATTTCGCTTCTAGGTTCCATACCTTTTCTCTTAGCATGAACTCCTGTTCTTCTTTTTCTTCCATTTGTGCTACGAATCGAGTTAAATTTGTTTTCAGTTGTTTTAGCTCGTTGTTTCTCGTTCTAACCCAGTATTTTGCGAAGGTGAGCTCCTTTGTGATTTTTAATATGTGGTTTAGAAGCTTGGTGCTCTCTTCTTCGATTTTTCTGGTCATTCTATCCATTTCGAATTCGTTCATGTTGCCGAGTTTCATCAATTCCGCTTCGTGATTTCCGATTTTTTGTTCGAATTGTCTTTTCTCTTGTTCGTATCTTTTGTTTCTCGCTCTTAAGTTTTCCTTGCTTTCGTTGTGTAGTTGCTCTGCGACGAGGATCCTCTGCGATAATAGACGGATTTTATCTTCCAAGCTGTTGCGAAGCTCTTCTGCTAAATCTTCCATCTTCCTCTCTGCGCCTATCATGCTCGAAGCCACGTCTGGAAAGCAGCTCTTCGCTTGCTTGTTTTTCTCGTTTAATGCAGTAATGGTTTTGTCCTTTTCCTTTAGGATGCTTTCTTGATCGATGATTTTGATTTTCAATTTGTTGTTTTCAGCCTCCATTTCAGATAATTTGTGAGAAAATTCTTGTTTACATTGCTCCATATCTTGCCCTAATTTTATTCTCTCAGCTTGAGATGCATCCATTTTTTGCTTCAGATTCTTGACTTGCTCCATTAAGGCGATCGTCTGAGAAGAAGCTTCCGTCTCTTTACTTGTCAATGCCAACTCCAGCTCGGAATTCCTTGTGCTGAGCCACTGATTTTCCGATCTAATCCGAATGTTCTGTTCTTCTATTTCCCTTCTCCGGTAATGCATTGTGTCTATTTCTGTTTCCATATCCTTAATCCGTGCAAGAACTCTCTCTTTCTCATCCAGTGTCTTCTGTACAACTCCAATTTTTTCCGTCAATTCTTCTTTCAAATTTCCTATCAAAATCATATTCTCGCATATCTCTTGATTTTGTCTGTTTTCCATTTCGCGTTTCTGGTTTAGTACGCTATCTAGTTCCCAATGCAGAGAATCAACTTTAGCCAACGCTTCATTCTTTTGTTCAATTTGTTTTTCTAGTTCATCAGCTTGGATTTGAGCATGCAATATGCTCGACTGTTCATCCCGTAAAGAATGAACACAACTATTGCTTATCTCCTCCGACGAAAAGTATTCCAACTCGGAATCAGAACTAGAGCTTGAAGATGAAGAAGAGACATGTTCGTCGTCCTTCTCTTTTCCTTTTCTGGATTTAACGATTCTTTCGGCTTCATCTCGAAGATGACCGTACTGTTCATAAATCGACTGATAATTTTTGTATAGATCTTCAACGAGTCCAATAACTTCGGTTTCTTTCTTCGAATCCCTTGACATTCCTCTATTTTTTCCATGATCTTTGTTCTTCATTAGTTTCAAGATTCTCGATATCTTTTGTTCCATTTCTACAAATGAAACAATTTATTTTTATTTTAGAAAGAAAATTTAACAACTCTAATAAACTTACCTGCTTTCGTCATCTTCTGTTGTTCAGCGATATCATCCGGTTTTAATCCTTTTCGCACGCGATGTTTGGACATCTCATCAAGATCCAACTAATTCGATTGAAATCAAGATAAAAGAATTAAAAAGAAATCAAGATAAATTCATTTCATTTCAGATTCATTCATGTTCAATGTTCAAATTCATCGAATTTCAAATTGCAGAATTAACCTGAAATTCATTGGGTAAAAAAAAAAAAAAAGTTAAAATTAAATTACCTGGAATTTGATTCTGGATTTTTCACCTGTAAATGAAAAAGGAAATAATAAATGGGGAAAGAATTTTTAAAAAAAAATAAGAAAAAAAGGAAACAGAAGAAAACGGAGACTAGAATTTAAATAGGGATAAAAAGCGAAAAATAGAATTTTCTAATTTTGTTATTAATTATTTAAATAATATTTTTTATTCTCTGGTCCTCTGTCTTTACTGCGATGGGAGATGGAAAATTTGGCGCTTCTTCCGCTCATTTGCCCTCGTGTTTTTACAAAATTACGAAAAAACCCAAATCCGTGAATCTCGGGGGATTTTATCGGGAAAAGACGCGATATTTTGAAACAAAATAGAAGTTACCGTTTTTGTTACATTTTTGGCGCAATTTCTTCGACGACTAAAGCAATTATTCAACCGAGTTATTAAAATAATTCAGAATAAAAAAAATTATAATTTTAGCTTTTAAGTGTTATATATGGATAGTTTTTAATTCTACGTGTGATTTTATTATTTATATTTTACTTTATATATATATATATATATATTAGTTATGAGTTAAATTTAACTCTCAAAATCTTCTTTGTTGGGCCTTTTATTTTTACCATTTATCCTTAAATTTTAAAAATGCATCGAATTAATATAGGTTTATGCATCCTTATAAAACATGTTTTGTTCTATTCAACACCATATCTCACAATAAATAACTAAACATGAATAAAGGCGAGGGAAGATTTTAAAAGAAAAAATAAATATTTTCAAAGATAATGCATTTTTATTTTATGTGTGCACTCATTTTTAGAGTGAACAAATAAAATTGTGGAAGACAATGGCGTTGGAATATTTAGCCATCAAATTATTGATACCTTGTTGGACCCTTTCTTATAAATTTCTACTATAATATACTTGTACTAAAAATTTAAATATTAAACTATTAATTGGTATATTATGAGTTGAGCTACGTTTTAAATTGATAGATTAAAATTATTAAACGAGTATCTATTATGAAAAGCTCATCCATGTGGTTGTTTTTTTTCTCTCTTTTAATTTCATTTTTAATTATTTTTGGTAGGTATGTTTCTTGGGTGTTTTCTTTTTCAAGTCTTTAGGTAGCAATGAATTTGTTGGTAGTTGTTTATATTTGATTAATATAAATTACGGTACTTCTGCAATATGAGTTTCGAAGAATGTTGTTCAAATTATTATGAGATAAAGTCATGTTTCATTAAAATTGCAATTAATGTTACGTTAAAAAGAATTAATTCATTTTTAGATAATTACAAATTTAGGATTAAAATCTAAATTTATGATAGTAATTTATTTTTTTATTTTGGAGATATATGAATTACTTCATTTTAGATGTAATTTATTTATTACTTTATTTAGCTTAATTATTTTTTATTATATTTTGTTAACTAAAACCCTAGTATAAATTGGGATTAAGAGTTTACGATAAAAATGGTATCAAATATACGAAGTTGGGCCCTTATAAAGAGGCCCATCGAGTTCAAATATCCGAAAATGGGCCGATTGGCTTTTGCGGACTATGCGGTTTGACCGTACAAATGGAAGCTTCGTTTTCGACGTTCATGCAGATTTCATTTCCCGGCACTTCATCAAACAAATCCCCATTTCAAATTCCGCGTCGGAAGTGTGAGCTTCTCAGTTTCTTCTGCATGTTCGATCACATTCTCTCTTTAGTTACCTCACAAAGAATCTGCAATTTTTGGATTTTAAGCCTCCTCTTTTGTGTTCTTGAAGAAGATCAAACGATTTGCCTCCTTGAGAGATTGAAATTTCAAATCTCATTCTGATTTGCACTACTCTACTCAGAGCCATTTCTTCGAAATTTCAAATGTCCATCAAATCGCATTGTGTGTCTTCTGCTGCTTTGGTTTCTATCGATGACGATAACCTTGAATGCCGGAGCATTTCAGAGTTGGTTTCGATTCTGCGGACGGCTTTCCGGGCAAGAGATTTCGACAAAGTGGAGGCGGTTTTGGTTGCCAAGGAAGTAAAAATGAGGAAAGAGATCGAGAACAAGAACAAAGAGTATGAATTGCTCCAAAGCAAATACGAGTTTCTAAGACTGGACATTCTCACTCATGAATCCATGCTCGAGCAAGATAAGGTTGATCCTAAAGGATTTGAGAAGTGGAAGGAAATATATGAAGAGTTGAAGGAGAAGGAGAGTGAGATTCAACAACTCAAGGATTTGATTTTCAAAGTAAATGAGGATAGAGAGAAGAAGAAAAGCGCTTTGGAGGGATTTGAGAAATTGCTGGAAACGGTCAAGAAAACACAGGAAGATCAAAGGGTCACTATAGAGAAGCTTATCCACAAGAATTCAGAATTAGAATGTGCAATGGAGGTGGTTAAGAAAGTAAAGGAAGATCATGTGAAAACCATAGAGGAGCTTAGATGCAAGAACTTAAAATTAGAATGTTCACTAGAGGAGCTTAACTACAGGAAATCAGAATTGGAACGTACAGTAGAAGTGGTCAAGAAGACAGAGGAAGACGAAAGGAAGTATGTCGAGGAGCTTAAATGGAAGAATTCAAAATTAGAAACTGCGAAAAGAGAAGCTGAGCATAATTACGAACTGTGTAGAAGGAAATATGATGAACTCAGCCGCCGAGTCTCACAATTGGAGAACAAAAACGACTCTATATCAGGAGGAGCTTGCGTTGGTGGTTCCAGAAAATTGGTTGGTATGCAAGCCGAGAATCGAACAGGTATGCAAGAACAGAAAGTTCACTACTTGCATATTAAGTAAATGCGATTGATTGTCAAAAATGATATCACAGTTCTATGAACAGTTCACTTATTTGTAAGCCTCTCCACTGGCTAGAAAATTGGAAGTTTGGGAAATGCAGGCATTAGAAATTTATTTAGTATTAACACCTGCTAGGTAGATCTTTAATAAGGAATCATACATATGCTGCCTCTGAATTGAAATCTTGTTATGAGCTTAAACTTTGTTTATTTATTGAATAAAATGTTTATCCATTGGCTTCATATAATTTGTGCATTGATTTTAAGAATATAGCTATTGTGTTATGCTCTTGCATCATTATTGGGTTATGGCAGAAGATAATACACAAAATTGGGCTTAGTTCATCTTTGAAGGTATTTTTCTCCGTGTATAAGTTTATGATGTTCTTGTGCATTGTTGTCGATTTGCCAAACATAAATTTTTATGTACGTAGCCACCAACGAATGTATATACACATGAAACAAATTTGGGCATACCCAAGTATGATTGGAATTATTTATTCACTTGACCAAGGTATCTGTCATTCTTAGGCACTGAAGGATTCATGGTGGAAATCATTAGCGATGACGATCATGCTCCAGTGAAGAATTCATCCAGAGCACGCAGAAAACAAAAGAGAACATGGGATTTATTATTAAACGATTGTGAAGATTACGATCCCGAAAGAGATGATGAAAAGATACCCACTCTGCCCAGTGAAACTAATGGCAAGGAGGCATTGAAGAAAGTAGGGGCAATGTATGCAACACCTCCACATGGTCGTCCTGACAATCATGTTTTGAAAAGGCATTTTTCTGCTCGTACTAATGATTCCAAGAACGTGATGTCCTCTTCAAGGGCTGTCGCAGTCATGTTGAGGGAAGAATGTAATTCACATAATTCCATGTTCAAGTATGCTTCATTTGGTTTCAACTACTTTAATGAGGACTGTTCCTTTTTCTCGGATTCTGATTGTGAGATTCAAAATAGATACGACTCAACTCATCTTAAGTCAAAGGGCCAAGGGAAGAGGAGTAATAAAAAATGGGAGTCGGAGGCTGAAATGCGTGCTGCATTTGATGAAAATGATATGCTTTGCATGGAAGCTGTTTGTATCCTCTATAGACAATCAAGCTTAGTGGGAAAGCCGCGTAGTGCATATTTGCCTTCCAGACATAGAGGATTTCATGAGGTTGATTTACTCAGGTATCTCATGAACTTTTTCAACGATGCATCTCTATTACATCAAATATTTTTTGTTTGATTTCTTGGATTGCAAGGCTAGCTTCTGTTGGGAGCTTGATTGGCTCATGTAACATATGAACTGTTCGTTATCGCACGATGTGGCTTGGATTTGAACAGAATCCTAGATTTATCTCTAGGTACTTGCTAATTATTATTAAATGTTTGAAAATAAGAAAGAAGTTTTCCCAACGTTTAAACCATATTTCTTAATTTGATTGGCACAATCATTCAAAACCCGTAAATCATTTCACCTGTTGATTATAATTCATATTAACTTTGCTATCTTTTAATATGCTCCTACAGTTTACTGTACTTCCTGTAGTGAAAATTTTTATGTTTCAAGTCTTTTGGCACGAGCACCTAAGCCCAGTTTTGAGTTCCCGTTACATATGTTTCCAATGCTTTAAGCTATTTACCGGTATTGGCCTAAACGACGATTTCTGTTGCTTTCTAGTGTTTTGTGCCCGTCTTTTGTGGTGATTGTTTGTGCATGGAAGTCTTCACAACTGAGTGATGCTCTTGTAAAGCTAGTTGAGGAAGTAGTGTGCGTTAAAATTTTCTTGATCAAAATTTCTCCAGGGGTTCAACATTGGCATTGTTTCTAACCGGCGGAGATTCACAAGGGAAGCTAAAGAGATCTGTGATGGAGTTGGAGAAATTCGACATATGTGGTCTTATCGACTGCAGAAGAATCTCCATCGAGCATTTGGAGCAGTTATTTGAAATCTACAAGAACAGTGAAGATCAATTCCTATTCCAGTAAAAAAGGAGCAGCTTGATGCAAGGTTAAATCTTATGCTCAAATCTACTTGTTTATCCCTTTATTGTAGATAATTAGATGTCTGCTGCTGACTTATATACATATATATATAGAGAGAGAGAGACATCAATAGGGAACATTGCAATTGTTATATCATATAGTTAGGATCAATTCTATTACTACCAAGTCAGTTTGTTAGAACTTAGAAACTGCATCAACTTTGTTTCAATATTACTACTGCTGAGGAAAGAAACCTATTTGAATGGTAGAAAAAATGGTCCAAAATCATCCTTGTTACCATTTTTTTTTTTCACTTTCGAGATTCCACCTTGGTTGGAGAGGAGAACGAAGCATTCTTATAAGAGTGTGGAAACCTTTTCTTAGAAGATGCGTTTTAAAATCTTGAGGGAAAGCCCAAAAGGAAAAGTCAACAGATGAGAATATCTCTTTACGGTAGGCTTGGAGGGAGGAACGAGACATTTCTTATAAAAGTGTGGAAACCTCTTTCTAGAAGTATAAGAGTGTGGAAACATCTCTCTAGAAGATGCATTTTAAAATTTTAAGAGTAAACCCAAAGAGGGCTATATCAGTTAGCGGTGAAATTGAGGTTGGAGGACTATATCTGCTAAACGCGGAGGAATTGAAGTTGGGTTGTTACGTAGACAGTCTGTAAGATTTTGTGGAAAGGACATAATGCAGCTGGTTATGAGATGGAGATTTTCTCCATCAGCAGATGGCCACCATGTTGGAGGAAAGGTCTACCCTGCCTTCATTTTTCTATTCTCCAATTCTATGTGCAGAAATGTATTTGGCCCCCCTTGAAAATTAAATTATTGCTAAATTAATATTCTAAATATACTGTATTATGGCATGAAAAATACTATTTTAAGTAGTATCCTTTATACCTGCTTATGAATTTAATAAATTTACAATACTAACTATAGAATCTTGGAATATTATAACATTATAAGGGGATTATTGTGTATTATAACATTAGCAAATTTTGCTACAATCTTGATGGGCTGTTATGTTTATAACATGGCAAGAATCAATCATTTAATTGTCACAATAAATAAAATTTATGAACCTAATTAATTCTAAATAGCTCTTCCAATGGTATTAAAGAAACATAAAACTCCTTGATGATGAATGCGCTTTAAAATATTATAAATGGATTACATGAACGCTATTAATGAATTTATTAAATTATAAACAGTAATTATGAGAAATTTTCTATTAAATTTTAAAGTTTTTTATTATTTATTTTTTATTTCAAATTAAGGTCAAAATTGTAATTTACTTAAATTAAAAATATATGACTGATGAATGAAAAAAGAAAATAAAGAAAAAAGGCAGGAAACATGGTGGTGGGCCCCAGCCGGGCCTTTTCAATTAACCGGCTTGGCCGGTTCTCTCTCTCTCTCTCTAATTTCCTTTTCTATTTTCTCGGTTTTGAAAAATGAAATTAAGATGATTGGTTGGTTTGGTATCCCATTCATTCCTCTTTGAGAAAAAAAACGAATTTTAAAAAGAAGATAAATGCAATTTTACTATTAATTTATAAATTTCAAATTTCCCATTTTATCTTTAATTCAATTTTTTTTTTAAATTACAAATATTTATTTATAATGAATAAATAAAGACGTCTATGAGCATAATTCATTATATAAGATTTATTATTAGGTTTACACAATTAATTAAATTAATGTAGAATTAAAATAAATGAGAAAAAGAAAAGGCTAACCCTATAAAAGGGCACACCCTGGAAAGTTTGGATCCCCTCGTTTGCCCATCGCGAGACTGCCTTTGTTTCCGTTTAGATATTTCGTCTTCTTCTTCATTTCGCCCTTCGAGAAGAGAGGGAGATTCCTTTCCTTCTCTCTCTCTCTGCGAGCCTCTTTGAAGCTATTGGAGAAGAAGCCTTTTGAAGCTTCTTTACCTGAGAGTCGCATTGCAGAGAGAGATCTAGCCTCGTGTACTACATTTCTTGCGATTCTTCGCCTGCAGAAAGGAGAGGGGAAATTACCGCACGATTCGGACTCATATGGCGGTTTCTAGGGCATCTTTTGGATTCGTGGCTGCCGCTGCGCTCGTCTTCACCATCTTCTTGCCGGTTGCTCAGCCTCAGTCTTTGGCTCCGGCTCCCGCTCCCACCAGCGACGGTTAGTTCTCTTTCTTTTTGTTTTATTTTGCATTTCTGTTCCAGATCTGTGTGCAATTCTTTGATCTCTGACCTTTGTTTATTCTTTGATTTCGGTAGAATATTTTGGCGTTATTTTTTAGGTTCGGTTTTTTAGTTAATTGGAATTTTGAAAATTTTGTTTCAATTTACGTTTATGAACTTGGACTTAACAAACTTCTCAAATCTGAACTTATTTCACTTTTTTGTCCCTTCAATTTTTTGTGTGCTCAATCAAGCTTTTGGTGGATCCATTATTGGTTCAAGTACCATCAATTTTATTTATTTGGGTCAATTTGAGAAATTTAGAAAGAAAAAAAAAAACTATTTTCATGTAACCATAAAAATGGAAAAAGTTTCTTAAAAGTTTCAATAATTAATAAATATCCCACTCCGGAGTGAAACTAAACCAATCGTCATAATCAGACTAAATATATGGTTTTACTTTTTTTTTTCTGCACTTTCTAAATTTATCAAGAAATTTAGCTGCATTGCTCCTTGATTATTTAAATCACACAAGCCTTACATTACAATGTTTTCTACTCAATTACTAGGAGCGGTTTGGGCATTGGCTTTGATTTTGGTGGGGATTGGGTTCTAAATCTATATCTATGTTTGGTTGAAATAACAAACTCTCTCAAAATCTATGGTCTCCGTTGAAATTACAATAATTGAGGGTCCACCACTTTTGTTTCCATTTTCTCACAATTATGGTGGTTCCTACCGTTTTGCTTGGGTCTCGTCATTTGTTTAATTAAAATGCAGGGTTATATTATCTTAGTTCATAATATGGTTAATGTTGAAAAATGAAAAGACCAGAAGGAAATCAACTAATTGGAATGCGTGCAATGGGAATTGACAGGTACATCCATAGATCAAGGGATAGCTTATATCTTAATGGGGGTGGCATTGGCGCTCACATATCTCATCCACAGTGCTGACTTAGCCAGCAGCAGCAGCAGCTTCTAGGATCATAACAGTATTTGGGAGTTTAGTTAGAAATGGCAATGGGTTCTTCTCGTGCTGCATCCTTTCCCGTTTCTGTTTTGGTTTTTTTTTTATTTATTTATTAGATCATCATCCTCACACATTTCTTCTATGTACATTCTCCTCATTTTTAAATCACATTTATTGGCTTTCCCTTTTTCCCTTTTCTCTCTTCAATTTTACCCGAATAACACCAAAAATATTAGTAGGGTTATTTTTATCTTCTTTTTTAAAAAATATTTAAGTGGATCCAAATACGAGCGGTTCAGTTTTTAGATTCTCTTTTATAAATAAAAGGTGAAGATTCAAATATTACATTACATGTTTTTTTATATGATTTTTCAAAAGTATATACCAAAATTAAGATCCATTGTTAATATTTAAAACCTTGTCGAGCCAACTGTTGGTTGATACGCAATAAAGTTTGTAACCCTATCTCCAATCAACCACTCAATTTTCAATGGAAAAAACATGGGTTGAAATGTATGGAGTTGGGTATGTTTTTTTGACTAATTAATTGGTTTTAATTATTTTACCCTTATCTTAACATTTGTATTCATCTCATCTAACTCTTCTAAACTTATATCGATAATACACGTAAAGATGCGACACGACTCTATAATCATTTCATCTCCAGATATTAAGCATATTAAGCTTATGACCTTAATTGTAGGAGATTAACCTTGATGTAACACCCAGATATTAAACTTACACGGTGGTGATCGAGTGTCAAATATGTATTCCAAATCTTGGACATAATTCCCCATCTAATATACTTCATATCATTTAGAAGATGCTAGTGCATAACCACTTATGGAACATTCTTATATACACATCGTCTCAAATCAAATCGATAGAAGCCAAGTGTTTGACCGGGGAAGATGTTGCCCTAAAAGGGAATCAAGTAGGATAAACTACCAACTTTGTCTATTTTAGTTGAAATACTTCATTTTAATATATTTTAAAACTTAATTTTATGTTTAATAAATTTATACCAAGTAAAATTAAACCCAAAAGAAAACGAGTTGTGATGGGCCAACCACGCCCCACCGCATGCTATCCCTAGGGCGTGCGACTACGCTTAGTAAGCCACACCTTGGGCACGTACAACCAACGTCCAATCGACCAAGCCTTTTGTGCCCCAAACCCTAAATGGGTTGGACAACTAAGCGTAGGTTGACTCGACTCATGCAACCCAAGCTCAAGGTCAACCCTTCACTAGGTCAAACTAGCCAATCTGATTAATAGAATGAGGACATTTCCATTTGAGATATGTTATCTAGACCCCAAATCTTAGGGAATTCACCCGTATCAAATTAGTGTATAGTTCTACTAAATACCTTTAAATTTGGTAGCAATAGGAAAGAATATAAAACACAAAAAATAGTTAAGATTGAGTTAAAAATAGCCTTTGTTTCTCTAAATATGCCAAAACAAAAAAGAGGGTAAAATTTGACAATGTCAAAACAACCAAAAGGAACCACTAACCCTTAACCATTGCCTTCCACATTCCTAATTTGCTTCCCTATTTCATTCCCTTTTCTTCCCTTTGGAATTAGGGGAGAACAAAAACAACATTATTATCTCCCTCTCCTTTCTTTTTTTCCCTCTCTCTCTTAATCTCCAAAGAGGAGAGAGTGGCTACAAGGAAACCAAAATGGACAAAATGTACCTGGCTTTAATGATTGGGATCTTGAGTTGCTTAGTTTTCATGGGATCTATGGATGCATTCACTCACATCGTCGGTGGAAACCATGGCTGGAGAGTGCCCGACAACGTCACCTTTTTCGACGAGTGGGCGAAACCTAGAACGTTCGGTGTCGGAGACAAACTTGGTATGTGTATCTGTATCTTCATTTTCATTCTCTTTCGACAAATTATTCAATGAGATCATCACACTAATTTTCGATACGGGTTGCAGTTTTCCCGTACCGGCCAGGTGCCAACAACTTATTGGCCGTAAAGAAGGCGGACTACGAGACATGTGGGCAAGGGGAAGAGGATGTGATCAACATGTACTACCTTGGGCCAACCATCTTGAACATCACCCACCCAGGTGACTACTACTACTACGATGGGATTGGTAAGCACTGTGAAGCTGGCCAGAAGCTCCACGTCCAAGTGGGTTCAAAAGAGGGAAGTTCTGGCTCAGACCCTTTGCCATTTAACCTTCAAACTTTTGGAATTCCCACCGCGTTCGGCACCACGGTGGAACCCCCGGCTGCAGCCCCGGTTGTAACCCCGGCTGCAGCCCCAGTTGTAACCCCGGCTGCAGCCATGGCTCACAAATTTGGGTTGGCCTCTTCGGCAATGTTAATAATGCCCGTGCTTTTGTCCATATTTCTTTAAAATTGTTGGCGCTTAGCAGTTAGCAGGACCATCTTTGCTTCTGCATCTGTCTTATAATTCTATTTAAAAGCGCCCAACAATTCTTCTCTTGTGTTTCCAAACTTTTAAAGGATTATTTATATATCATGGGATTTTTTTGTGTTTATTTATGAATTTTATTTCTTATTTAAAATTTTGTTTGCAAAATATTATAATAATAATAATAATGGTATTTGAATTCTGGAAAATGGGCCACCAAAAGGCCCGTGATTGGGAGGTGGGCCACCAGCTGACCTGTCCATTGATTTCAAAAGAAATTAAAAACCGAGGTCCACATCAGCAAGACTCGTTGTTGGATTCGGTGGGTCCGCCCAATCAGAATCAGAATGGGAAATGGAAGCACCAAGAACTGGGCCTGGGGGACCAAACGGCCCATTTTCATTATGGTTCACTGCAAGAATGGACCATATGATCCAGAGAAGTAGTTGGCTGATGATTTGATGATTACGTGTATGGCCAGGATTGAATTTCGGTGGGGACAGGAGGATAAGGGAAGAGATTCTCTGCGGGTGTTTTAACTTTTTAGTGTGGAATCAAGCAAACCTTTTTATTAATTTTTTTTAATGATTACTTTTTAATAAACAAAAATATATGTTTTCCCACCCATTTGAGAGGGACATTAATGGAATTTGGAAATCCTAAGTTGACTTTCAATAAACCAACTCGATCCCATTATTTTAGACACGTTACACAAAATTATTAATAATTTATTTTCTAAATTCGAATTTTTTAAAAAAAAATTAATAAAGAAATTAAACAATATTGTAACGCCCCCACACACCTAAGTAAAATATTTTTGTTACTAGTTACACGTTGGCCCCTTCACGAAAAGACATCTCTACCCTTTCTAAATCATATAAAAATTAAAATGACGTGGAATTTTCTATTTTTAAATAAAGATAATGAATAGTAATATTAAAATAAGTTGGTGGATGGGATTAGGCAATTTGAGGACGGAACCGCATCGCACGTGTAATCTCTCGCACGTGTTAACCAAATTTTTTGAAAATGTGCGTGTCACGTGCTAAACCGTTAAAAAGGTATGATAAAATGTGTAGCACAAAAAGTTTATCCGTCGCCGTTACCGTGACGGAAGAGAGATCACTCCATTTTTGGTACACGTCATGCCCAGATTTACGATTAAAAAATAATAATAATAATACTAAATGCAGAAAACAAAATTTGCCGAAAAACTCGGCCTATTTTTTTTTTTTTTCCTTTAATTAAAATCTTAAAGCGCAACGAGAGGATCCGACCCGAATATGTCGCTGATGTCTTGGAAAGAATTTTCACTCATATGCCACGTGGAGGGTCTGAACCCGAATCCTAATCCGAACCCGAAATCATCATCCGGGTTAATAAACATACTACTGCCGTAGTCCCCCCTCAAAACGGCGTCGTTGAGAGCTGTGTCGCCGAATAGTGACGGAATCGGCGGTTGGAAGTCGAAGATATCGTTGGGGTAAAACGAATCACAGTTCGAACAGAATGAAAAATCCGGAAAAATCTCCGACTCGGCACGGCGGGTATCTTTACCGGTTGAAGCAGTTTCAGGGGATTTTTCATTCGTCGACGGCGATGGGCAACGGAGAACGGAAGTCGGAGAAGAGAGATTGTCGTTCGTCTCCTCAACGGAGACATTGCTGGAGCTCACTGCCGGCGGAGGACTGAAGTTAGTTTGGGCGGTGGGTCCACGGAGTTGAATGGCAGCGTTGTCGTACACCATAGCGGCTTCTTCAGCCGTATTGTAGGTACCTAACCAGATGCGTACACGTCGCAAAGGATCTCTAATCTCAGCCGCCCATTTTCCCCACGGCCGTTGCCTCACGCCGCGGAATTTCTTAGTTCCCGGCTGTAGCGGCTTCCGTAAATTCGATTTCCCGGTGGTGGACTTCTTCCGGTCTCTTCTCCCCAAGGCCTCGATCGTAATCTCGGTAATAAATTTCTTGACTCGGCGGGAGACGTGTTGTTCTTCCTTTTCATCACTAGAAGAATCAGTGGCATCTTCGTCAGTTACAGAGATCCTGACGAGCTTAGGCGCCATTAATGGCGGAGAAAAGTGCTTGGTGTGGTTTCGATGTTCAGAGTACTTAACCGAAGGTACAAGAAGACTGGAGAACAAATCCATTCCTTCCATGAGAGAAACAGAGAAGAAATTCCTTCACCTGTCAGATTCTGAGAAACACCATTGAAAGCGAAATGTAGAGAGAAATATAGAGATGGGAGAAGGAAGGTAAAAAGGAGAAGATTCGTTTAAAGGAGTAGCAGACACGAGGGGAGAATAAAGAGTATTAAAGGTGAAAGGGGAGGAAGACGTCAAAGAGAAGCTGAAATTAATCTCTCCGACCTCCACTAACAATAATCATGTGAAGAAAAAAGGTTGACCAAACTCAAAAGTAAAATCCGGGAAAGTTAGTGGCAGAAAGCCATGGAAGGGAAGGGAAGCTCTGAAGCATTCATTGAAGAGGGGAAAGGAAAAGAGGAAAGGGAAAAGGAAAAGGAAAAGGAAATTTTCCGGGAAAGAATAAATTCTCTATGGATTTGCTTTACTTACTGTTCCTCCATAACTGCTCATCATTCTCAGATTTTCTCTGTCAATTTTCCTGGAAAATTTCAGAGTGAAGAAGAAGACGAAGACGAAGAAGACGAAGAAGACGAAGACGAAGAAGAAAAGCTGAGGGAATAACCAAAACCCAGCTATTTAATGGGGTCTCTAACAGCCGTATTTCAAAAAAAAATTATATTCTATTTTATTTTATTTTATTATATTTCGGA